TGTTTAATACTGGTAGCGTAGCCCGATGTCAAGGAAGTGAACGGAACATCAGCAGAAATGGTTCGAAATGTAATGAAGCGACTTGATCGAAACCCGCGTCGTAGTGGCCGAAAATTGGCTCGTGAGCTGAGCATATCCCAATATTCCCAAATATTCGGCAAATATTGAAAAATGAGCTCGGGGTAAAACCATTGAAATGCCAAAAAGTGCAAGAACTTTAACCTCAACAGAAAGAAAATAGACTCAAAAGAGCTAAAGAGTGGTTTACCTTGGCCGAAAGTAGTGAACTGCCGGACATTCGTTGTCCAGCAGTTTGTAAACAAACAAAATTATCTTGTTTTCTTGCCAAAGAGGTCAGCTGAAAATGTGCACCTTCGGTTGGCCACCAGAAGTCAAACGCCGGCCATGGTGATGGTGTTGGTCGCCTTTCAGTGTCAAATAAAATTTTTGTCGGAATAAAAATCTAAAATTTTGTACTTAAAATCGTATGAATCGTAGCACAGAGTTAAGAAAAAAAAACAATTCTTATATTAACCCACGGACAGTTTTGTCTGTCTTTCAGCAAAAACAAAGACATCAATTGTAACGGTACGTAGGATAACCGAAAATTTACAAAGGAAGAGAGTAATTTTAAATGTCGAATATATTCGACAAAAACACTAAAAGGGTTAACAGCCGATGGACCCTCCTCACTCGTATTAATCGACCGTGGCATCAGAATAAATTCCGAATATTATCGCGAAAATATTCTGGAGGGTGTATTAAAGCCTTGGGCACGCAAACATTTTGGCCCCGGACCTTGGACCTTCCAATAGGACTCAGAACGCGCCACCCAAGAATGGTTACAGAATGAGGTTTCTCGCTTCATTTCCAGCGCGCACTGGCCACTGATATCTACGGATACCAATCAGTGGGACTATTGTGTCTGGAGTATTGGGGAAAGCAAGGTTGGCACTAAAAATACCAAAGTGTCGCTCACCTTAAGCAAGTGCTTCGCCGGGAATGGGCCAAAATACCACAGAGCAACATTCGGGCATCGTGTAACGGTTTCATTGACCGTTTGAAGGCCATAATTCGTGCCAAAGGTGACCAATTCGAACAAATCTAAACTTATTCTAAAATTTGATGCTATTTCCGACATTTTGTGCTATCATTCAATAAAATTAAAACAAAACAATTGAGAAAGCGTTAACTTCGACCAGGCCGAACTTTGGATACCCTCCACCATAGATATACTGACAGGTACTAGAAATGACAATATAGGGAACATACCAAAAAATGGACCTATACCGACATTTCTAAAAACAGATTATGTAAACCATAATACAAATTTCGGAAAATTTTAATGGATAATTATACTCTCAGCCATATGGCTAATGAGGGTGTATACACTTTAACACGGTGAAAATGTGCCTCATCGAAATATTGTTTCTAGACCCCACGCTTCTTTGGACCAAATCCGTTTCAAAAAATTTTGATTTCATCCAAACTTTGCCCATCTTATTATTTCTTCCAAACTTAGTTCAAATTCGAAGATGGGGAATATAGGTTCAATCCATCTGGAACATTCACACAGGGGCTAGGCCTAAATGCGGCTATATTTCATTATCGAACCTTACGTTCTAAATTTTTAATTTCACTATCCTTCGCAGGTGAAATGATTACAATAGAATCTTAGAACCAAACTCAAAACACGGAACAAATCAGGTAACTATTTTAACATAAATAAGGGGGTTATATGGGGACTACCCCAAAAAGGGGGGCGAATGTTAATAATTGTTGATAGGGAGATTTGTCACCCTATACGGCTACAAAATTCCAAATTGCAGAAAATTGGTTGAAAAACGCGCTCAAGAGTCCCAATATACCGAAAATAGGGGGCACCCTTATATGGGGGCTATCCGAAAAAATGGACCTATTTTCATAATTCTTTGCGGAGAGATTCGGTACCCATTAAGAACTCAAAATACTAAATTGCAGATAATTCGGCGAAAAAAAATACGATAAAAACCCGCAAAATATTAAAAATTAGGAAGTACCGTTATATGGGAGCTACCAGAAAAAGTGAACTTATATTTATAATTTTTTGTGGTGAAAAAACGCGCTCAAGAACCCCAAAATACCGAAAATTGACCTATATTTATAATTTTTAGTAGGGAGATTTGGTACCAAATAAGAACTCAAAGTATCAAATTACAGCCAATTCAGTCGAAAAATGCGACCAAAACACCTAAAATACCGAAAAATGGGGGGTACCCTTATAGGGGTGCTGTCCCAAAAAATGGACCTATATATATAATTTTTAGTGGAGAGATTTGCTACCCAATAAGAACTCAAAGTACCAAATTTCAGCGAATTCGGTTGAAAAACGCGCTCATGAACCTCAAAATACCGAAAATTGGGGATACCCCTATATGGGGGTTTTCCAAAAAATTTGACCTATATTTATAACTTTTAGTGGGGAAATTTGCTACCCAATAAGAACTCAAAGTACCAAATTTCAGCGAATTCGGTTGAAAAACACCCTCAAGAGCCCCAAAATACCGAAAATTGGGGGGGGGTACCCTTATATGGGAGCTATGCCTAAACGTGGACCGATATAGCACATCTTGCCTTCAGACAAAAGACGACTCTATGGGCCTCTATCTCAATTCGTTTAGACGCTAGAGTGATTACAACAGACAGACGGACTGGCGGACATGCTTAAATCGTCTTAGAATTTTACGCTGATCAAGAATATATATACTTTATAGGATCGGAAATGATTACTTCGATGCGTTACAAACGTAAAAGCAAAACTAATATACCCTCAGGGTATTATAGCTTTGTGCACCCACCTTTAAGTATACGGATCGTCATATCTCGACTAACTGAGTCGATCTAGACATGTGTGTCCGTCCGTCTGTCTATTATAATTTGTGAACACGATACAGGCCACCGTTATGGACCAATCTTCACGAAATTTTGCATGTAGGATGGGTTCTGCCCAATGAAGACCCTTATTGTTTTTGGTAAAGATCGGTTAATGTCTAGGGGATGCAATGGACCAAATAGTTAATTTTTATCGTTTTTTCTGGACGCTCTAGAGGCCGCAATTATGACCCAAACATAGTGAATTTTTATATAGAGAAGGGGATCGGGCAAAAGAATAAGCATGCCTGTTTTGATAAGGATCGGTCAATATTTAGCGGATCAAATGGACCCTGACTTTTGTGTGAAAAATTACAAAATTTGTATTCTATAGCGTATAGATTCACACCTGAAGGACATAGACCCGAAAAGTTGTTGGTATATCCAAGGGCAGTGGTTGGCCTTTAAATTGATAAAAATTATATGGTCGTATGTACTCAAATGTGGGAGTTACACTTAAACATTTACAGGTGCTTATGTATTCAGATATTATTTAGTAAGCCTTTATCTTACTAGAGGGCGGAAATATAGCGCAGATCGCTTTAAAATGTTCCATGAAGTTCCAGTTATGTTCAAGGATAACGCCTTTAATTTTCGGTGACGATCAGATAATTATATTGTGATGAAGTGGACCGAAAACTTAATTTGTTGTGTTTTTTTCGAGTCGATCTATAGGAACCAAGGGATAGGAATCTGGACAAGTAATTAGATGGGCTGTACTGAACATTAGTAATAATTGTCGGCCTCTAGTTGATCCAGATGGTTCAAATATCACGAAATATTACCCAAGCTCAGAATATAAATCCACAAGAAGTTAGTATTTCGTGGAAGTTGTGTAGGGTATCATGTGGTCGGCCCGCGTCCGCTCACTGGTTTTATTTTACAATTGAAATAACATGTTTTATATTGTGTTCTGAAGAAGGAAAATACAACCATACGGAGACTTTATATCCTCCTAGAAGTCAAAACATTAACTTTTTGGTATTCACAGAATTCTATGCCTTCCTATGGTGAATGATATACGAACACACATCTTTAATTCTTTTTTTTTTAATTAATTGCCAACCCATGTTGAAGATATTGAAATTTAACATAATTTCCAATTTTTCACTAGTATTTGTTTTCATATCCTTATATTTTAAATATAATAGACTGACGATTAATAAGAAAATTAATTAAATCAACGATTCGTTTAATAACAATATTCTGTTCCTTTAATACACCCACAACAAGTAGTACCACTCATCACATCAAATTGACATTTAATTGGCTCATCCAAGCAATAATTTGCAGTTCAATCCACTTCAAAATCAATTTTCTAAAATAAAATCACAAATCGCTCTTAGGCTAATGAACTGTGGCAAGAAGACGACATCAGCATCATCATCTGCGCCATGAACATAATATTAACAAACAATTTTCTTTTAACATCCACAAATTTAGTTGGTTGGAAATGATTTGTTTATGTTGTTGTTAATTTTCTTTCTCGTTCTCTTTATTTTGTTAGTTGCCCTCAATTGCGTGTTTTTTATTCATTCTTCATAATGGCTTATAGGCAGGCATTACATGAAAATAACAACAAAAAATAAAAATATGGGAAAAAATATGAAAAGGAAAATTTGTGCAGCCTGGAAAGGAAGGGACGGACGAATGAATGACAAACGAACGAACGAAAGCTATACAAAAAATGGCAACAAAAATCATTTAATAAGTACGCTTTGTAAATTTAACTAACCAATTATTATTATTATTACTACTACCACTACGACAACGACGACCAGAACGGCTACCAACATCATCGGCATCAACATCATCAGTTCGGTTGCAGTCAATGCCAGCAGTTGTTTTCCTTTTGCCCATAGTCAACGACATCAAAGACTTATGACTGCCAGGCTGGCTGGCATATGGTCGAATATTATAATGAGCAAACTGTACTGCTGGTATTGGCAGTGTTGCCATCCTGCCCAATGGCCACCGTCCCTTGCGTCTCTGCGCCTCCGCAATTCCACCTCTACAACTATGGCTACGACTATTTGCACCATCAACACCGCCATTCACGCTCACATCTACATCATCACCACCATCGTCATCAGCTTCCACAACATCACCGATAAAATGTGTCGTCAAGTTTCACTGTATCAACGGTGAATGCTGGGAATTTTCACTAAAATCTACTGTATAATACATATCGTTTTCCAAGTTCATGGCCAAATGACGCTGAAAGGGCCGTTCATTTAATTGGCCAACATGATGATGGCGTTGCTGCTGCTGTTGTTGTCCTGTTGACGATGATGCTGCTGTTGCTCCTGCCGTTGACGCATTTGCGGTTGGCAAATGTCCAACACTATTACGCTGTAATGGCGCCGATAAAGTTGAATTGCTTGCAACACGCATTGCATTGGCGCCCGTCGCACCGCCGCCACCCAGTCCCTTGCCACTCAGCCAGTGTCGACTAATTTTCGATGTTGCCTGTTTGGTGCGCCAACGAAAGCCCAGTATGGGCAGAAAACCATAGGTTCGTGTTGAAAATTTACGATACGTTTGATTCACTTTACAGTGGCATATGGTAAGCTGTAATTAAAAAAGAAAAGCAAAGAGGGAAAAGAGGAAGAGAGAGAGAGAGAAAAAATAGGAAATCATTATTTTTGTGCTCGAAAACAAGAAATGAGTTTTATTTTTTCTGAGAGCTTTTGCAATGCGTCAGGAAAAAAACAACAACAAGAACAACTAAATATGCCTAAAAGGATATTATAATTGCCGTACAGTTGAGTCGACGGAAATTGCGGCAGTGGGAAATTCACTGCATATTCAAATCGTTTTGCATCAGAATACAGATTTGTTTTGTTTCCTCGAGGCAATACAAAATGTTGAACGAATTTTGATACAAATCTTTTATATACTATAAGAGATGTAGACTTTCTAAAAATATATTTTTATATGCACTATAATAGGTAACCATTTTTATACCCTGAGCATTATAGAAAATGAGGTTATGTACCCTTAGCTGCGTCAAAAATATGCCTCATTGAAATATTGGTTTTAAAACCAATTTTTCTTTGAATCAAATCTTTTTCAGAAAATTTGGAGTCGACAAATGTTCATCGTTCCGCCCGTCTGTATGGTTGAATGGTGCGCACGGTAGCTCTCGCAGGGAGTTCACTCCTTCGGGTACTACCCACACATAAAGGTAAAAATATTGCTGAACACATATTTTATAGAAACTCCACGTCTTGTATTGGACATTGAAAAAATATACTGTGGAAAATCCACGTCTTGTATCATATCACTGAAAAATTATTTTTTAAATGCACGCCTTGTGTCGGTTTCTGAAAAAAAAATTCTTCAAATATTTTAAAAATTCATAATTTTTTAAGTTTTTGAAAAATGGCCTCCAGCTCGTTTATGGAGACTTCCAGGGCCTTTAGCTTGTCTATAAAGTCACACTGGCCTTCAGTTCGTCTATACAGACCCCCTGGCCTTCAGATCGTCTGTAAAGACCTTCTGGAATTTATCTCGTCTATAAAGGCGCCCTGGAATTCAGATCGTCTATAAAGGCCCTTAGCTCGTCCATATAGACTTCCTTCGTCTATAAAGCCCCATGGAATGCAGTCTATAAAGACTAGTCTATAAAGACACCTTCGGCCTTCAGCTCGTCTATAGAGACTCCTGGTATTTAGTCCGTCCATAAAGACCCCTTGGCCCTAAGATCGTCTATAAAGACTTTATGGCCCTCAGTTAGTTTATAGATAATTCCTGGCTATCCGTTCCTATATATGGACTCCGTGGCCTTAAATTCGTCTATAAAGACTTCCTGGCCTTCAGCTCGTCTATAAAGACTCCGTGGCCTTCAATTCGTCTATAAAGACTTCCAGCCCTTAAACTCGTCTATAAAGACTTCCTGGCCTTCAGCTCGTCTATAAAGACTTCCTGGTCTTCAGCTCGTCTATAAATGCCGCCTTGTCTTCAGTTCGGCTATAAAGGCCCTCTGGCCTTCGTTCGGCTATAAAGACACTCAGGCCTTCAGTTCGGCTATAAAGACTACCAGGCGTCAGTTCGTCTTAGTTCCAGGCCTTCAACTCGTCTATAAAGACTTCCTGGTCTTCAGCTCGTCTATAAATGCCGCCTTGTCTTCAATTCGGCTATAAAGACCCTCTGGCCTTCGCTCGGCTATAAAGACACCCAGGCCTTCAATTCGGCTATAAAGACTACCAGGCCTCAGTTCGTCTATAAATACCTCTGGCCTTCAACCTGTTCATAAAGACTTCCTAGCCTTCAGCTCGCCTATAAAGACCCACTGACCTTCAGCTTATCAACTCATCGTCTTCAACTCATCTATAAAAGACTCCCAGGCCTTCACTTCGTCTATAAAGACTTACTGGCCTTCAACTCGTCTATAAAGACTCCCTGACCCTCAGCACGTCTATAAAGAATCCGTGGCCCTCAGCTCGCCTATAAAGACTCCCTGTCCTTCACCTCGCCCATAAAGAATCCCTGGCCTTCAGTTAGTCTATAAGAACTTAATGCTTCGTCTATAAAGACGAGGGCCGTGGATTCAGCTCGTATTTAAAGGCTCCCTGGCCTTCAACACGTCTTTAAACACTTTCCGGCCGTAGGCTCTCCTATAAAGACTCGCTGTATTTCATCTCGCCTATACAGCCTCCCTGTCCTTCATCTCGTCTATAAAGACTTCCTGACCTTCGGCTCGTATATAAACACTTGATGCTTCAGGTAATCTATTTCCCACCTTCTGATCGTCTATAGAGGCCTTCAGTTCGCCATTAAAGACTAAATGGCTTTCAGCTTTGTCTATGAAGACCCACGGGCCTTAGCTTGCCTGTAAAGACTACCTGGCCTTCAACACGTCTTTAAACACCTTCTCACCTCCTCTCTTCTATAAAGGCTCCCTGCTTCAGTTCTTCTCTCCGGCCATCAGATCGTCTGTAAACAGTCCTTGAATCAGCTTCTCTGGCTTTCAGTTCCTCTATAAAGACTCCCAGGTCTTCAGCTCACCTGCAAAACATCCCCGACCTTCAGCTCGTCTATAAAAACTCTCTGGCCTTCAAAAGTCTGAAAAGACTTCCCGACCTTTATTTCGTCTATAAGGACTCCCTGGCCTTCAGCTCGTCTGTATAAAGACTCCCTTTAGCTCGTTTATAAAACTCTCCACCAGGTCATCTAGAAATTGCGTTTGTGTGTATGTAAATGCGTAGTTAATCCAACACCACGAACAAAAATTAATTTACAACATTAAATAATGTCCATAAAAATCTAATTAACATTTGCTTTTGAGCTGCAAAACCAAAACCACATAATATGTTGGCAGAGAGCTACATTAAATTCTCTATTCAGAGAAGGGACCTCAAATGTCATTTATTAAAGTCGAAGTAATTAAAAAAGGCCACAGTGGATTGTGAGAGACAACAATGTGTGAGAGGATGGTGAATAAGTATATCCTTTGACAATGACCCACATAAAATGGACAATGTTTGCTGTTGAAAATCGTTGGCAGACTTGGATTATATTACAAATTTTATTAAGGCTAGACAATAATTTTTATTTCATTATGGCCCGAAAAAATGGGGTAATTGCTTAACGCCCTTATTTTATATTCCCTTCCAGTACTCATAGATTCAATAATTTCCAAATAGTTTATCGGTATACTTACATAAAGTGCCACGAAAAATATAACCAATGCCAATACAATCGCTGCTGTATAGGCATTATGCAGTTCAATCGGACTTTTCAGGACAACAGATGAACCGAAACTTTTATCATTAAAATTCCGAACACTCGTATCGTCAACCATAAATTCACTGGAACTAACCACCGTTTCCACAACAAATTCATCTGCATGGAGGTAGGTGTGTGTGTGGGTTGCATTATCCAGATGTGAACGAGAGGAACAGCAGAGCGTAACCATACAATGGAGGTCAAACCATAGCAACAAATCGTGAGGAGGACAACAGGCAGGCAGTCAGTCCGACATGAAAGTAAAAATTGGCATAAAAACAACAATGAATAGTTTTTCATTAGAAAAATAACAAAATAACACACAATAAAAATAAAATTAATATTAGACCGAAGCCATAACAACAGCGATACCTGTGAAAACCACATAGAAATAAAATTCAGCAAAATATATCAACTAAAATATGTATGTGTATGTATAGAAATATATGGAGATATATTTTTGGGATATATGAGGTTGAATGGGCATATCGGGATATGTGTTAGATGAAATTTGCAATTTAATATAAAAATATAATATCAGATATCTAACTTAGTTTTGTTATTAGTTTTTAATAGAAGTCGTCAAAATGATATACAAAAAGTCGGAAGGTTAACCATTGCCGAAGCATGGTGTTTTTATAGACGATTTGACACAGGAAGCCTTTACAGATGAACCGAAGGCAACGGGTATTTAAAGGCGAGCTGAAACATGGTGTCGTTATAGGCGAGCTTAAGGCAGGAGATTCTTTAACAGACAAGCTGAAAGTCAGGGAGTCTTTATAGACGAGTTGAAGACCAGAGAGTTTTTATAGACGAGGTGATGGCCGGGTGGTCTTTGCAGATGAAGGCCAGGGGGTCTTTGCAGATGAGCTGAAGGCCAGGGAGTCTTTACAGACGAAGGGAATTCCAGGGATTCTTTATAGACGAGCTGAAGGCCAGGTAGTTTTTATGAAGAGAGAGGGAGAGAGAGAAAGAGAGAGAGATGAAGACCAAGGATTTTTAATAGCCGAAGTGTCAGCCAGGGAGTCTTTACAGACGAGATAAGGACAGGAAGTCTTTATACATGAGCTGAAGGCCAAGGAGCCTTTATAGATGAACTAAGCAGGTAGCCTTTATAGAAGAGCCGAAGGCCAGGGAGTCTTTATAAGTGAGCTGATGGCCAGGGGTTTTTTTCAGATGAACTGAAGACCAGGGAGTCTTTATGCACGAACTGAAGGCCAGGGAGTCTCTATAGACGAGCTGATGGCCAGGGGGTCTTTGCAGATGAGCTGAAGGCCAGGGAGTTTTTTAAACGAATTGAAGACCAAAGAGTCTTTATAGACGAGGTGATGGCCAGGTGGTCTTTGCAGATGAAGGCCAGGGGGTCTTTGCAGATGAGCTGAAGGCCAGGGAGTCTTTACAGACAGGGAAGTCCAGGGAGTCTTTATAGACGAGCTGAAGGTCAGATTGTCGTTATAGACGAGCTGACGGCCAGGGAGTTTTTATGATGAGAGAGAGATGAAGACCATGGATTTTTAATAGCCAGGGAGTCTTTACTGATCAGCTAAGGACAGGAAGACTTTATACACGAGCTGAAGGCCAAGGAGCTTTTATAGAAGAACTAAGCAGGGGGCCAGGGAGTCTTTATAAGTGAGCTGATGGCCAGGGTTTTTTTCAGATGAACTGAAGACCAGGGAGGTTTATACACGAACTGAAGGCCAGGGAGTCTCTATAGAAGAGCTGATGGCCAGGGGGTCTTTGCAGATGAGCTGAAGGCCAGGGAGTCTTTACAGACGATGTGAAGTCTTTATAGATGATATCAAGGCCAGGGATTTTTAATACACGAAGTGACAGCCAGGGAGTCTTTACAGACGAGCTAAGGACAGGAAGTCTTTATACACGACCTGAAGGCCAAGGAGCCTTTATAGAAGAACTGAAGCAGGGAGCCTTTATAGAAGAGCTGAAGGCCAGGGAGTCTTTATAGGCGATCTAATGGCCAGGGGTTTTTTTCAAGTGAATTAAAGACCGGGGAGTCTTTATACAAGAGCTGAAGGCCAGGACATATTTACAGACGAGCTAAAGACCAGGGGTCTTAAAATACGAGGTGAATGCTAAGGAGATTTTATATATGAGCTGAAAGTCTGGTAGTCTTTTTAGGCGAGCTGAAGGAAAAGGAGTCTACATAGGTGGACTAAACGCCAAGGGGTCTTTATAAACAAGCTGTAGGCGAGGGAAGTCTTTACAGATGAGCCGAAGGCAAAGGGTTTTTAAAGGCGAGCTGAAACAGGGAGTCGTTATAGGCGAGCTGAAGAAGAGTCTTTAACAGACAAGCTGAAGGTCAGGGAGTCTTTATAGACGAGTTGAAGACCAGAGATTCTTTATAGACGAGGTGATGGCCAGGGGGTCTTTGCAGATGAGCTGAAGGCCAGGGAGTCTTTACAGACGAAGGGAAGTCTTTATAGACGAGCTGAAGGTCAGATTGTCGTTATAGACGAGCTGAAGGCCAGGTAGTTTTTATGAAGAGAGAGAGAGATGAAGACCAAGGATTTTTAATAGCCGGAGTGACAGCCAGGGAGTCTTTACAGACGAGCTAAGGATAGGAAGTCTTTATACACGAGCTGAAGGCCAAGGAGCCTTTATAAAAGAACTAAGCAGGGAGCCTTTATAGAAGAGCCGAAGGCCAGGGAGTCTTATTAAGTGAGCTGATGGCCAGGGTTTTTTTCTGATTAACTGAAGACCAGGTAGTCTTTATACACGAACTGAAGGCCTGGGAGACTCTATAGACGAGCTGATGGCCAGGGGGAGTCTTTACAGACGATGTGAAGTCCAGGGAGTTTTTAGACGAGTTGGAGACCAAAGAGTCTTTATAGACGAGGTGATGGCCAGGTGGTCTTTGCAGATGAAGACCAGGGGGTCTTTGCAGATGAGCTGAAGGCCAGGGAGTCTTTTCAGACAGGGAAGTCCAGGGAGTCTTTATAGACGAGCTGAAGGTCAGATTGTCGTTATAGCTGAAGGCCAGGGAGATTTTATGATGAGAGAGAGAGAGAGAGAGATGAAGACCATGGATTTTTAGTAGCCAGGGAGTCTTTACAGATCAGCTAAGGACAGGAAGACTTTATACACGAGCTGAAGGCCAAGGAGCTTTTATAGAAGAACTAAGCAGGGGGCCAGGGAGTCTTTATAAGTGAGCTGATGGCCAGGGTTTTTTTTCAGATGAACTGAAGACCAGGGAGGTTTATACACGAACTGAAGGCCAGGGAGTCTCTATAGACGAGCTGATGGCCAGGGGGTCTTTGCAGATGAGCTGAAGGCCAGGGAGTCTTTACAGATGTGAAGTCTTTATAGATGATATCAAGACCAGGGATTTTTAATACACGAAGTGACAGCCAGGGAGTCTTTACAGACGAGCTAAGGACAGGAAGTCTTTATACACGACCTGAAGGCCAAGGAGCCTTTATAGAAGAACTGAAGCAGGGAGCCTTTATAGAAGAGCTGAAGGCCAGGGAGTCTTTATAGGCGATCTAATGGCCAGGGGTTTTTTTCAAGTGAACTAAAGACCGGGGAGTCTTTATACAAGAGCTGAAGGCCAGGAAATATTTACAGACGAGCTAAAGACCAGGGGTCTTAAAATACGAGGTGAATGCTAAGGAGATTTTATATATGAGCTGAAAGTCTGGTAGTCTTTTTAGGCGAGCTGAAGGAAAAGGGGTCTACATAGGCGGACTAAACGCCAAGGGGTCTTTATAAACAAGCTGTAGGCGAAGGAGTCTTTAAAGATTTGAAAACCAGAGAGTCTTCATTGAAAAGCTGAAAGTCAAGGAGTCTTTATAGATTACCTGAAGGCTAGGAAATCTTTAAAAAATGAGCTGAAGCACAGGATCTTTATAAGCAAGCTGAAGCCCTGGGAGTCTTTTATAGACAAGCTGAAGGACATATAATATTTATAGACCCATTACCTTGTCCTTAATGAAGGGAGCTAAGGAGCTTTATAAGTGATTTAAAGGTAGTCTGTATAGATGATCAGATTACAGTCTTGACAGGTGATCTATATAGAGTCTTTATTTCGTCTATAAAGACTAGGAACCATATTCGGTATTTTGAATTTTAGCCGAAATTTAGCCGAATGTATAGACTTGAAAAAATATTTGTCAACAAACCCCCGTCTTTTATAGGATCTTGAAAAAATATTCGTCAACAAATCTCCGCCTTCTATAGGATCTTGAAAAACTATTGGTCAACAAATCCCCGTCTTCTACAGGATCTGAAAAAATATTCGTCAACAAATCCCCGTCTTCTATAGGGCCTTGAAAAAATATTCTTTGAAAAATTCACACCTTCTAAAGGGCCTTCAAAAAATATTCTTTAAAAAGTCCACGTTTTTTCAGAACCTTGAAAAAATATTCTTAAAAAAATTAACGCTTTCTATAGGCCTTGAAAAAATATTATTTAAAAATCCACGCCTTCCATAGGCCTTGAAAATATATTCTTTAAAAAGTCCTCGCCTTTTTCAGAAAAAATATTATTTAAAATATTAACGCCTTCTATAGAGCCTTGACAAATAGCCTTTAAAAAATCCACGCCCTGTTTAAAGCCTTCAACAAATATTCTTACATAAATCCAAGCTTCTTTGGTGTTTTGGAAAAATATTGTTTCAAGGAAGTGACAACAGTTTCTCTACACAACATTTTCTCAAGTGACTGAAATTTTGTATTTCTGGTCCTTGGAAGATAAATATATCGTTGCAGGAATTTTTATGGAATATCTGAAATATAAATTTGTGTATGAGATGAGAACATTTTTCTGAATGATCTGAATTAAGACTTTGTAGAAGGACTACGGGACTGTCCCGTAGTCCTTTTGGAGTCTCCATTCAATCCGTCTATTGGGACACCAGTCAAAAAATCCTCCCTGTTTGAAAATAGATTTGAAATCTTCGTGTTGACATTTTGCATATTTTAAAAGGTTGTCCAAAGGAGTTGATAACGCAATCTATTATTTTTGGAACCATATGCCTCAGCTCAGCTAATCATTTATTTTTCTAAACCCAAAATCTCATTAAATTTTCAGCAATATTTTAATGAATTTTAAATGAGTTAGTTTTCAACATATATTCCCCACCTATTGCTGTGTAATAAACTACAACACCGAACCATTAGAGTTCATTAAAATTTTAAGCAAATACTTGTTTTTATATGGCTTTTAGTATTTTTCAACATAATTTTTACTAAGAATTTTGCGGGTCATTTGTAAATAATGTTTGCACAACTAACCTCCCCCAATAAACATTCCCTATTTCCATGACATGGTGTTGCTGTTGTTGTTGGCATCGCTTGACCCATATCCATGGTTATGCCCGCAGACATTGTATGCATTCTAAAAACAAAAGGAAAAAAATCATCACAACGTACTCACCTTCACACATAGTGCCCGTGTAACCCGGGCGACAAGCACAATAGAAAGAATCACCACTGGACCAGCAGGTGCCACCGTGTGTGCATGGATTAACATTACATTGCTGTAAAAAATAACAAAAAACAACGACAACAACATGATAAAACAAACATATAAGTAAAACATTCATGGTTTTTATGTTTGCATGTGTAGATGTGGTGTGTCTCTGTATGGTGTGTGGGTGTTAGTGCGTTCGTGTATAGGGGAAATAACAATGAACAAAATAAATATTTATTTGAGGTGTGTGTTTGTTTGCTTGTTGATCGAGGTAAATGTGGTTACCGCAACGTATTTCCTTCATGAAGAGATTTTTTAGTTCAATTCTAGGACTTCAGGGAATTAAAGTGTAAATTATTTAACTCAAATTTTAGTTTGTAAAATATAAAAAAATTATATTATGATTTCTGGAAAACTCGCATATATAACAGCTTCATCCTCATTCTTTCGTGGCCTCCGTTTTCCTAAACCTAATACGAAGGAAATACTCCGAATTTATATTTTATAGAAAAATATATTCCCATATACATAAATATAGAGTATTATAATTATTTCATCGAGTGTATCAACAATATCAGGTACTCCATGGCGTATAATTGCTATCGTGCATTGCATTCATTATAGCTCATTCGCCACCAGTAACTATAAGTTATCTACCACACATATAATTACTATTGTTTATTATTATGAGAATATATGAGAATTCGCGTATAAATGTGTTATTATGCGAAATATGTATGTGTTTTGTATTTTGCCATTATTTTTAATGTATCAATAATTATAGGTATTGTATGGCAGCAGCATCTGGATGAACAGCTGTTACTTAGCATTCAATAATACACCTGAATTATAAAATAATCAATGGCATAATATGATATAGATATGATAGTGCGATAAACGGAAGATAAATTTTACAAAAGAATGGATATGATAAAAATACTTTAAAAATCTACGCTTATTTGCCTTATATATTATTTGTCTGATGGAATTTGATTCGACTATCCAATGAAATGTTCCTAAAAGAATTCAGGTTTTTGGTCCAAAAATCTCAAAGAAAATACTCTTTGAAAAATATAATTTAAAACCAGTGAGCCGAGCAGTATTGTCGGACGGGGCCGACCATACGAACCAAGGAACTCAAATTATATGCTGATGTTTATTCCGAGCCTGGGCAACATTTCGTGATATTTGCACCCTCTTGCCCGATTAGAAGTAAACAGCACATCTTCCTCACACTGACATACTTTCCGAATATTACGAGTATTCAGTACAGCTATTGTCCAGATTCCCTTCACCGTGGGTTGTGTTGTGATGTTCGGCTTTCATTTGTGGTCTATAGGTCGACTCGAAAATAACACAAAAATTTAAGTTTTCGGTCCAATTCATTCCAAAATTATTATCTGATCATGACCGAAAATTATAGGCATTTCAAATCGATTGGCGATATAGTTCCGCTCTCTAGAGTGATAATGGGTTACTAAATAATATACGAATACGGAGATACCTGCGAATATTTATGTGTAACTCCCACATCCGAGCACATACAACAATATAATTGGTATTAATTTAAAGGCCAACCACCAATTTTGAATATACTATGAATTTCTTGGGTCTATGTCCTTCGGGAGTAAATATATACGCCATAGAATGCACAGTTTTCTATTTTTTCACAAAAAAGTATGGATCCATTTGACCCGCTATATATTGACCAATCTTTATCAAAACAGGTATGCTTATTCTTTGGCCCAATACCCTTCTCCATGTAAAAATTCGAGATGTTTGGGCCATAATGGCGGTCTCTGAAGCGACCAGAAAAACCGACAAAAATTAAGTAATTGGTCCATTTCATCCTCTAAATATTATCCGATCTTTCCCATTAGGCCGAACCTATCCTACATGTCTTCATTAGGCCGAAGCTATCCTACATGCAAAATTTCGTGAAGATTGGTCCATAACTGTGGCCTGTATCGTGTTTACAAAATATAGTGGACAGGCGGTCGGACACACATGTCTAGATCGACTCAGCTAGTCGAGATATGACAAACTCTTGGGGCTGCACAAAGCTATAATATCCTGACAACATAGTTGTGTAGGGTATAAAAACACGCTTAATGTAGTAATATGACTTCTTGAAATGCCAAAAAATTTCGTTAAGTTCGTGGAAGTTTTGATACCTTCCACGGAAGGTCAAAACATTTATGGAACTATGTCATTGTAAATTATAGGGACAATGTCGAAAAATTGACCTCTACTATATTTGTTCTTGGGAAGAGGATTTTTTCCGGAATGTTAAAATACCGGAATGTCAACATATTGATATAACTTAACTATTTTGTATAGAGGTGAGTTCGCTGTCCAAGACCCAAATTGATAAATTACAGTAACTTCGGTAAGAAAAGTAGCATTTTTTACAAACTTTACTTAATTGGCCATTCCGGTTCAAAATAAGGAAATTGTTATAACGACAACCTTCCAAATTCAAAAAATTAGGCCGAACCTCAATATGGGAAATATATAGAACCATATAGAACATCCTCCATAAGGTGGGTTGTAAAATATTTTGATTCCAACACATCAACACCTCCATTCTTGATCAGAATAAAATTCTATAACAATTTAAGCAAACCTGTTCGTCTATCTGCTGAAATCACGATAGACATCGCAATATTTAAGATAGAGCTCTGAAATTTTGTACAGGAATATTGCAAATGGAATATATTGGTCCACGTTTTATGTAGTCCCAATATAAATGTAACTCCATTATTCGATATTTGCGGTTTTGGGATTCGTTTTTCAATCGAATTCACTGTAACTTGGAATTTTGGGATCTTATTGACCCAAGTCTCAGGGTATGGAGTCTACCCTGAAACTTGGGTCACGGTAACCCCAATAGTCGAAATTTTGTCGATTTATGCAGTAATTCGGTATTTTGGATTCTAATTGTATAACACATCCTTATACTTTTTCCAACCGAGTTGAATGTAATTTAGTATTTTATATTCTCATTGGCTGTCAAATCTTACTACTCCAAAACGGGCTTTATATGGATAAAGCCCGTTTTGGAATAGCTACATGTAACGGAAATTCCTCTATTGGGTATTTTGAGAAGTAAAATCATCTTCTCCTCATGCCTTTTTCGGTATGTTCAACCGAATTGGATGTAATAACATGAGATTTCTCCTAGGAGCCCCAACCATTTCAGACATTTTAAATGTCATCCTCAAGTTCGATAGGGCCAAACATAACTTGGTTTTTATTTCTTGAGTAAATGTTTTTCACCCTTCGCCAACCCTGATTGCCAAATTATAGCCACTTCGGTAGAAGTGCTAAATATTCAAAATACCATAAATGAGGCGGAACCTCTATATGGGATCTGGCCATGATACGAAACTATTTCTATACAATTCTGCCTAAATGTTTTTCACCCTCCGGGAAACAGATGTGTCATATTATAGCCAATTTATATAGAGCGAAACCTCTTATTATTTTTGTCTGCAAACAGGTTTATGAACCTCTATAAACCCGGAAACCAAATTTAAAAACAGACAATGGCACGACAGCCCGAGTACCGCCGCTTCAATACAAAACTAACCAGGGATATCAACAATATATGACCTAAATGTTAAAGTGATTGATATCGTGATTTCAACAGATAGGCGATACGTCTATTATAATCCTACGCCAGCTCGATCTATTCTTCAACTCAACATATAAAACTATGTGAAATTTATTTTTCCAATGATAACGGTAGAAAAATTCATATGAACCTACTATAATGGTAGATGAAGAACAGATTCCGTCCATCAATTATCCCAAAATATTGGGTGTAGAGTTCTATAGCCCCTCCAAGTCGTTGCTATTTGGGAGAAGTAGGAACCGTATCCTCAAGTCGTTGGCCGTCAGCACTTGGGGACCTTGTGACCACTTCTCACACAATAGACCAGATAGTGAATAAATTTCAGACCTGTCTCTTCGTAAACTAGTAGTCCTTATTCATGAGGAGACAAAGCCAAATTCAATATCCACTTGAATGTTATAGTCATATGGCCAGACAAACGGCATATATAGATAGAGGTAAAATTGTAAAATCCTGTATCTCTTTACAGCACCAAAACAGATGCAGTCGCTCAGGCAGTTGGTAATATGGTATAAATTCAAGCTCGGAGATCATCCTTAGTAGCAGAGCAGGAGCCTATGCACGAATAGTCGTACCACAGTTAAGATCAATACCTATTAGGAATTGATGATGTTTCCATACCCAACAAAAGCCCCGTTTTTCCAGATAAGCTTACTCAGCTGTATTCAAATTCTCTGTGGATGCAGCTAATACAGAATACGATTTTCTTGAATTTTGATGCTGAGGAGAAAAAACCAGACCTTGGATAACGAATTCCCTTGCTAGTATTTCAAGTGCTGCAACAGTACGTCCCTTAAAAATCCACACTTGTAGCTCTAATACTCATGTATACCTAATAGTCTCTTAGAAAATATACCGTGAAGAACTTCACTTGCAGTTTAAACAAATATTCCATACAACATCACAATTATATCTTTGATCATCCTTTAATACAGTATTTCTCAAAAAATAGTCCCTTAAATTTCAAAGCTCATGGTTCTTATAGTTCTTTAAAAATCAACTCTTATAGCTACTATATTCCTTTCACAAAATATTAAAAGATATACTATTGCTTTTAGCTTATATAGTCCTTAAAGCAACAAACTTATAGCTCTTATAAAAAATACTAGCAAAGTGCCCTCTACTTCGTATGCGGAAAAGGAATTCAAAAAAAAAAAAAAAAAAAAAAAAAAAAAATTAATATGGAAATCGTACAGGTTCCACATTCAGTTCCATTTAGAACTTTTCGAACACATAATTACACATTTTCAAGACAACCTCCATACCATCACAACCACTAAATTTAGTACCAGCTCTCTCCGTTACCCAAATCCAAATTGCTCCAAATTTAGTGAATTTTCTATTTACTATTCGTACACAAAATTCGAGTTTCCAAGGTTCTCTCCATAGCTCAATACTACACTTCAACAGTAATCTGAATTCTAAATGCC